AATTCCAATATTTGTAATGCCTAATTTATCAAAATCCTTTTCTTTTAAATCTAGAATGTCTAACACATCAATTGATTCATCAACAAAATTATCTAAATAATTTGTAAACTTTCCCACTCCAAATTCTTCATCCAAATCTTCTAAAAATTTTTGAATTGTTGGTATAGATGTATTAGTTATTTGAGAATTATTATGATTAGAAACTGAAGAAGGATAAGGTGAAGGAAATTTAGGAGAAGAATTATAATTATAAAAGGGAAATGGATAAGGATAGAATGTTGACATTGGTATTGGCATAGGAGTTAATGTTGATGATGCTTGAATAGGAGTTTTAATTTTTGTTGTTTTACTAGCAAACATAAAAAATGTTGGTGGTTTATTGATTGTTGCTAACCCATGTTCCTAAAATAAAATAAAAAATAAAAATAATCAAAATGTAATATGAATGAACATTACATGAACATCATCATGAATGTTATGCGAACGAATGTTACATGAAATGAAATCTTACAATTGATGCAACCCAAGTACTCAAATGCTGTGGTGTTAATTGTAAATGATTTGAGCCATTAATGTAGCAAGATCTTTCATGTTCATTACAATGATGTTTCTATGAAATCAACATAACATTTGTAGCAACCTTATTTCTATCTTCAGTTAAATTTGATTCTTTTGGAATAATATTGGTAGATGATTTTTCTTTCTTTTTCTTTGATTCTTTTATAAGATCAGAAGATTCTTTTCTATAATAAAATAAAATTTTTAGTAGTTTATTATGTATATTTTTTTAAATATAATGAAAATAATTCATCTTTTTGATATCTTATTTGATTTGAATTTTAAGTTTGCAATTATTATCATCTCCCTTTCTTGTGAACTCAATTTTTGATATTCTTTTAGAAACATCTTCCAATCTCTTTTACTTGATAAATGTGTTCCAATATCAGAATTTTTTGAATGTCTATATGAAATAACACAATTATTAGAAAGCACAAGTTCATCTACTTGGTCCGTTATGGTTATAAATTCTTCTTACGATTCTGATATTAAAAAAATCGTTAATGAGGTATGATAATACAAATTTTGCAGTTCATTTTCCTTTTATGATAAAATATATTCAATTACTTTAATATAGACAAAAATGCAACGTGAGGTTGATTATTATGAAAATATTCTAAAATTTTATGGAATATCAAAATACGAAACGTATTCAATTAATAAGTATTTGTTGATTATGGAGTATGCTGATGGCGGAACATTGCAATCTTATTTAGAAGAAAGTTTTGAAAAACTTGAATGGAGTGATAAATATAAATTAGCCTATCAACTTGCAAATGCCGTGGAATGCATGCATAACGAAGGAATCATCCATAGTGATTTGGTAATGTAGTCATTTAAATAACTTGATTTAATTTTTGATTGTACTACATATACTAAATACTGTAATATGAACTTTATTAACATAGCATGCACAAAATATACTTATACATAAGAACAATATAAAACTAGCAGATTTTGGTCTATCTCGAAAGATAAATGATGCTTCTAATCATTCAACAGATGTGTTTAGTGTTGTTCCTTACGTTGATCCAGAATATCTGAAAAATATTAGTAATAAAAATAAAGGACAACTCTATTTATTAAATCCAAAGTCTGATGTCTACAGTATTGGAGTTCTTCTTTGGCAAATTTCAAGTAGACATAAACCGTTTTATTCCAAAAGCGAAGGTTATAATGCAAGTTTAATTATGGATATCATAAAAGAACGAAGAGAGAAAATTATCAAGGGTACTTCTATTGAATATAGTGACTTATATAAAGGTAAATGTACATGCAGAACATTTATTCATGCTGCCTGATTATTTAAATGACAATATACTTTAATTTTATTAGCATGTTGGAGTGATGATTTAAATGAACGCCCTACTCTTCAACAAGTAGTTGATTCACTGAGAGCAATTATTTTCGAGCATTATGATACATTTCAGTCTATTATTATTCACACGAAAAATAAAATAGAATCGCAACGTGATATGCATTCTAATTCAGAATCTTTTATCATGTATAGTAATAATTCTGAGTTATTTTTAAGTAAATTGATACAAGAAATTAACTTAGAGTCAGTAGATAATGAAGGGCATTCACATATATTACATCAAGCAGAAAAATTATTTTTGAAAATATTTGATGTAGAAGACAGTATAGATATTCTTATTGATAAATTAATCGTACTTTTAATTAAAATACATGATGAGGGAAATGATTTTAATGAAACAAAGCATTTCATCAATCAATGTATATTTCTTTCAAACCAAAATTCAAATAATATTTTTGAATGGCTTAAAGAGAATCAAGTTGAATCTAAACATGTCTATCTTTTGGGATTTTTCTATTTTAATAATATTAATTTTGAAAAAAATAACAATAAAGCATTTAAACTGTTTTTAAGTGCTTCAATAAATAATTATTCTATTGCACAAGTTTATCTTGCAAACTGTTATGAGAAATGATATGGCATTGAAAGAAACTATGATTTAGCATTTAATTGGATGCAACAGGCCGTAAGAAATAAAAGTATTTTTGGACAACTTAATCTTGGTAGTTATTATGAAAAAAGTATAGGAACTGAAAAGGATTTGGATAAAGCCTTTTATTTATATGAAGAAGTGGCAAATAATGAAAATTTAAGTAGATTATATAATTTAGGTATATGTTATGAATTGGGTAAAGAAATAGAAAAAAGTGAAATTAAAGCATTTGAAACTTATTTAATATTATCAGAAAAAGATTACATAAGTGGAAAATTTAGACTTGGAATTTGTTACTATTTTGGAATTGGAACTGAAATTAATAAAGAAAAGGCATTTAATATATGTGCAGATTTAGCTGAAAAATATAACTATGCACAAGCATTTTTGGGTTATTTATATGATAATTGTGAAGGAACAAAAAGAAATTTAGAAAAAGCAATTCATTATTATCAAATAGCAGCAAAAAATGATAATACAAAAGTATAATTTAACCTTGCATCTTATTATAAAAGTGGTGAAGGAATTGAAAAAAATTTAGAAGAGGCTTTAATTGATATCAAAAAGCTGCTGAAAATGAATGTTGTTTAGCACAACATTATCTTGCACTTTTATTTGAAAATGGTAAAGAAACAAAAAAAAATTTAGAAACAACCTTTTATTGGTATCAAAAAGTTGCAGAAAATGGATATATTAAAGTATAATGTAATATAGCACTATTATATGAAAAGGGTGAAACAATTTAAAAAAGCATTTTTTTGGTATTAAAAAGCAGCTGATAATGATTATGAATTAGCAATGTATAATTTAGCCATTTGTTATCAATATGGTGAAGAAATAAAAAAAGATTTAGAAAAAGCTTATTATTAGTATCAAAGAGCAGCTGAAAATGGCAATGAAATAGCAATGTATATTTTAGCTAAATTTTATCAAGATGAAAAAAGAGTAGAAATAAATTTAGAAAAAGCATTTTATTGGTATCAAAAAGCAATTGAATTTGATTATGAAATAGCATTATATGATTTAGCTAAATGTTATCAAGATGGAAATGGAACAGAAAAAAATTTAGAAATTTCTTCTTACTGGTTTCAAAAAGCAGTTGAAAAAGGAAATGTAATTGCATTATATAATTTAGGTGAATGCTATGAATTAGGAAATGGTATTAAAAAGGATGAATTTAAAGCATTCAGTTATTTTCAAAAATTGCTTATACAAAATTTCTCAGATGCAATATTTATTCTTGGATCTTATTACATAAATGGAATTGGAATAGACATAAATAAAAAGAAAGGATTAAAATTGTATAATAAAGAATCTAGAAAAAATGTTAATGAGATACAAAGCATTTTCAAATTATATGAAAATAGTCAAAAAATAGATGATATAGATGAGGTTAATTACTGGTATCATAAAGCTGCTAATAACAATAATCAAGAAGCATTATATAAATTGGGTGAATTTTATGAAATAGGAAAAGGAGTTTATAAGAATTTAGTTAGAGCGTTTGAATTTTACAAAAAATCTAGAATGTTTTGAAGCTCAATATAAAGTTGGATATTATTATGAACATGGAATTGTAGTTAATATTAATAAGGATAAGGCTTTTGAATTATATAAAATAGCTGCTAAAGGAGATAATAATAATGCACAAAAAAGACTTGCATATTTATATGAACAAGATGGTATAGGAATCGAAAAAATGTAATTGTTCAATTTCTTGTAAGATTTAAGACATATAATAATTTAATAGTTTAGGTTTTTTTCATCTTTACGATAAAGGAACATATTAATGTTTCATAAATTGAGTTTACATTTTACTTTATAATCATAAGGTAAAAAATTTTATTTGTCTAATATTATGACAAATAGTTCTTGTTTGAAACTTGAATATATATACAATTTTTTAAGTAATGTCTAGTTTTGAATTTTAGATAATTATTGATAGTAATGTATCAGAACAATTCATAATCATTTTAAGAACTGAAATTTCTTTTCAATTACAAAATTTATATATAAATTTGAAATTAATTTAAACAATAAAATCTAAAACACTTTCTCAAAAGTATATTAAAAACTTTATATTATGTGTAAATAAATCTTTTGTTTTATATTTTTCCTTTAAAATTAAAATTTCAAAATTATTATTTATTATTTTTTTTATATATATTATGCTTATTAACCTATGTATTGATACCAAGAAGTTTTAAAGTTCTTTTTTTAATTTCTGAAAATTTTCTGAAGCTTCAATTCCTTTATGAATACAGTTTTATCAATATTAACATAATAATAACTACAAAAGAAATTACTAAAATCATTAAATTTTGTTATTTTTTTTTAAAAAAAATTGATATACATAATTTGAAAATAAGTAAAATAATTAAATGTTAAGGATCTTAGGCAAATTGTTTATATTTACTTTGAAACTTAAATTAAATTACAATTTTTACTGAACCTACATTTTGTGCTAAATTTATTTGTCTTAATTTTCATATATTTAATAATCTGATTAATAAGTTTATTAAGAAATACAATAGTAAATATATTTATAGTTATATTTTATTGAATTCAGATAATTCTGTATAAGTTTTTGTTAAAAAAAAATTATAATAATTTATAAAATTAATCATTCAGATTTTTACATCTATAAAGAATGGTCAAATTGCTAAGAGAGAGTTTACATAACTTGAAAATTAATTCAATAGAAAATACTTAAACATTTTTTGTATCTAATATTTAAATATACTTTTCTATTATATAATTGTAGCTAAAGTATTATTGTAATTTGTTATTTAAAATATAAATATTATTTGTTAATCTTAAAAAAAAATAAAAATAGAAAAATTTAGAATAAAGGATACTAAGTTTCTTTATGGATCATATTATATGAAATAATAAGAAAATAATCATCAGATTTCTTAAATGAAATATAATAATTTATAACCTTCTGATAAGATTAATAGGATTTTTAAATCTCTGATATTATTTCAGAATATTCAAATTTTTTATAGTATATGAGAACTAAATAAAATAATATCACATTTACTATCAGGCATAAATATTTGTCTTTGTTAACAGTAATGACCATATCTACATTAAAGCTATAATATTAAATAATAAGTTTATTTAAATATTTGAAATGTTCCTAAATAATATGGTCATTTAAGGTCATTTGTAATTTAATTCATTTACATTATTAGTCAAATTTAATCTTAATATAAAATTTAAGTTAGCCAGTATTATAAATAAAAATTTAAGAAAATTAAAATTGTATTATTAATAATATTAACCAGAATTTTAAGATCAAATTATGTAATTTCTTTGAATAACTAAGTGTTTGTCATTTGATTTCAAAAACCTTCAAATAGTTGTGCATTTTGTCATTTAGTCATTTGATGTCATTTAGGCATCTTGCAAAATATTATTAGTTCCTTCACAATCAGCTTGAACATGCTGTATACCATTTCCTATGAAGAGAATTTTAACGCATAAATTGCCTTCTTGGCAAATTTTCTGGGTTTTTATTTAGAAGAGAAGCAAAAATAATACTATTGACAAGTTTTAAAATCATAATGATCTTAAAATGTATTACCATATTTGATTTACGAATTTATAATGATTATAGAATCACATATTCTCACAAATGTATTCATATATAATCATAAGTTATTGAATTAAGCTAAGCAATGATTATTCTACTCAATGAATTATGAGCTGAATCTTATAATTTTTGACAATCTAATCCGGCATTCGCAAAAATGCTAAACTGAAGTTATTTTCATTTTAAAAGTAATACTAAGAAATGAAATATGCACAAAATCTTTTGTTAAATTTTTATAATAACAGACATGATTTTTAATACACTTCTCACCAAGGAGAATAATCCTTGTATTCTTCAATTAAAAACTTTTTAGCCACTTCTCTATATTCATCTGGTGTTAGATATGTCGCCATATTTAGAAGAATCTTTGCAATATTTAGAAAATGAGCTAAGTTTAATAAGTTTAATAATTAATAGTTAGCGTAAATTTGCAATATAGTTTTAAAATTAATTCACATGTACTGTAAATACATACATTTAAGAACCTTTCTTATTCATCTTTTTTATTATCTTTACTACCATTATCTTAATGTAATAAATTTTCAATCTTTTAAAAATGAGCTTTTTGGCAATATCTTATAACTTGAAATATAAAATAAAGATTTCTGATTTGATTTAATTTGTTTAATTCATCTCAAACTGAAAAAAAAATATGATCTGTTTAACGAATTCTTAATAAAAAAATTTTTTTAAGTTTTGAAGGGTTTTTAATGTATAAAGTATTGGGCATTACATTCATTACCTTTGAAAGTTCAAAAAATCTACGGAAGCCATTCCCTTAATTCAACAATAACGAATTGAAATAATTTACTTATTAAAATTAAAAATTATTAAATATTATTATTTTAGAAATAAATATTAAAATAATAAGCATCCTTTAATTTTTTTGTTTAATATAGTTAATAATATCTACTGCGGTTTCCGATTTTGTACAAATCTCGTATATGTTCCGCTCCAAAGTTAATTTAAACGAATTGTCTTCTCAAGGAATTAATAATTATCATTTAACAATGAAACGGAGTAAAATAAGTCGAATAATTAAAAAAATATCATTTATACAGGCCTGGTATTAATTTCTTAAAGAAATTGTCAAAAGGTCATTCAATTTATAATTTTAAAGTCTAAATGTAAATTGTATTCGAATTTATACGTAGCTTTGCAATTAGAAAATCATACAATGATTAGATGAAACTGGTAAGCTAATAATTTGTTATCAATATTTATTTTTAAGAATTCCTATAGACTAACCTAACCCGAAAAATATTAAACTTGCATCCCACGTCCATACGAAGTTTAAAATTTTATAACATCATTGAAAAGCAACTTAATAATAAAATTATATTGATAAATCATTTTGATTAATATTTTTGTTTACTTTATAAGTGTTTCAAAAAGGTTAAGATAATATTCATATATATGGTACGCACAGTATATTGGGGTTTGGTACGAAATCCCGAAGTCATAATCCCGAATTGATCAAATATTAAAATATTAAGTATATTTTAAAAAGTTATATCACGAGTTTAACGAAGTTTATTGCGATTGTTAAATTTTTGCATTTAAAATTTAGCAAAAAATCTTTATCTTGACTTTATTTTTGCCAACCATGGATGAAAAATGCTAAATCATACAATGCATTATCTCATCGAAAGAAAGTTTAAATAATTATGATATTCGGGATTCCATTCGGGATTATGGTTACCCTTAGGGATTATGATCATTCGGGATTTAATTCAGGTTGGCATCTTTTTTTCATTTGTAAACACTTTAACAGTTTCGTTATTTTATTTTAAAGATGGTACAACTTACATAATTAAATCTTCCATGCCATGTATTCTTAAATTCTTAAATAAAATTATAATTGTCGAAAAAATTTATTGATTACATACTAAATAAAAAGAAAATGACAGCCCATTTTCTTCGTAAGCAAAGCATTTGATTCTAAGTACACTGCACCGTTGGTTATTTATTTGCTTTAAAAAAAAAATTAGAAGGGAATACCGCGCTATTTTCTTTGGAAATATGATTTGTAAGTTACAGCGCTTCTCAAACGAACGTTTCGGGTCGAAATCCCGGTCATTGATTAGATGAAGTGATATTTTTACTTTGAAAGCATTATTGTTCTCTTGCGTATTTATAAAATTGTAAAAAAGTTTATTTACTTTAGTGACAACTTTTAATATTGTCGAATCTGGTCGAATCTGTTTTTTTGTGAACTTTTTTTTTTAAAAAAAAAAAATTCGAAAAACTCTTGATACCATTGTGATTAGTGTTTGCTGTTCAAAACTAAAATTCAGTAGTTTAGACTTACCGAAACTAGTTTAGTTAATAGCCGAAACTACTGAAACTAGTCTTGTTTAACCGAAACCAATTTTTAGTAGTTTAGGATAGCAAACTTAATTGTGATCTTAAAAACAGACCTTCCTTTTAGTATATCGATGGTAAAAATTCTAAAATAATATGATTGATGTAGTAAATTTTATTATTATTTTTATTTGTTTTATTTTCGGTTCTTTCGCTTCGGGTGCGGTCGATTATCTTTTTTTTTAAGAAAATTATTCATTTTAATAATTAAAGTTCCTCTATGCTTGTTGTAATCGGACTGTTGTAATTATTTTTTCTTATTTTCGGGTTTGCAACGATCAAATATTTAATTTTTCCGGTGCTTTGATTTATCTCCTCGTGTTTTCAATAGGATCATTTCGGAAAGAATAGTAAATTTTTTATCTTTGATCATTCCGTATTGTTTTTTTAATTCTGACATGCGCGATCGCACTTGGATTATCATATCATTTAGGGAAACAGATGATTATAATAAAAAGAAATTTCTTTGTACTTATATTATGGACCGCCCAGAATTATTATTTGATTATACATTAACTATGTTACTCAATTATTTACTTATCCAAATAGAGTTAGCTCGTTAATTTCCATGCAT